GAGAACGGCATTCGTTATAGAACGTTAGTGGATTTGTACTAAAATTTCGATAGAAACACAGTACATGTTTTCTATTTCTTTAACTATATATTAATAATAAAATCTTTATTATTTTGTCCATTGTGTATGAGTTATGTTGGCGAAACTGCTACCGTAGAGACTGAACAGTTTCTGTTTATCCGCGTTTTCAGAGTGATCGCTAATTACATGATGTGGCATGTGGTACTTCGTTTCTCTTCACATTTGAACTTCAAGTTTAGAGAGGTTTTCAAAAATTATCGCCAAGCTATATCGGGGACCACCGCCGAAGATCCACGCTGGCAAGATTGTCTTAGTGTGGTAGATAGCTCGTTTGGCATGGCATTTGGTCTGCTGTTTGTTGACGAGACATTTGAAGGGGAGAGCAAGAAGTCGGTAGGTAACAGGCATTCCGTAAAAAAAGCCCTGGGCTTATAGGGCATCATAAGGGTTTTGGTGGACTTATATACCGGGACGAGGGGCTTATATCCGGAGGGGGAGTTAATAACGGGTATTAAAAACAGCAGCAGCAGCGTTTTGAAATAAGCTGATGAAACCGACATCTAACAGTGTAAAAAGATGTCGATGTTTGAGAGTTTTATGTTCTTGGAAGCAAGAAACACAAGTGCGCAAAGTAAAGCCCTTTCTAAAATACCGGCTGGTATGGTGAGGTACACAAAGTAAGGTAAGGCTTATATCCGGTGGGGGAGGGGGCTTATAAACGAGGGAAGCTTATATCCGGAATTTTACAGTATCCTATTCAGACCGGTTCGGGGGACTTGAAGCCCTCACTAACTTTGAACGTTGACTTTTTCTCTAAAATGTATCTGGGTACAATTTGCTATGACATATCATTGACCAAGAATCTTGATGTTTCCATAAAGCTATATTGTGAGAGGAATCTTTTAATTTTTAGTCATTTGTAGCCTCTTTATACGTTTTAAAATTTTTGAGCCAGTTTTGGACGTTGTTTAACGTTATATAACAACCATAAAACCACGATCCATGATGGGGGCTGTTTGGAAATAATGACGTCCTTGGTGCGTCATATCTCGTCATCGTCATACGCCATGGACTAACCTCAAAGGAAATAAGGTAGCACCCTTTGTGACGTCACGCGTCACCGCCTCTCCCATCGACCCCCCCCTCCCCGCCTCCCACCTTCCATTCATTGGAGATCGTTCTGTCACCTTTAACTTCGTTTTGCAGGCTGAAGAGATGATTCACGACATCAGGCGGGTATTTCTTGCCAATTTAGAAAAGGTGGAGTGGATGGATGAGAAAACTAAACAAAGAGCAAAAGACAAGGTATTCCGCTCATCTACATTTTAGTTCAAGTTTCAATGAGATTTTAAGAAGAGCAAAATTTTCTGCGACGAACTCAACTATTACTCGTTGTGGCCGGCGCAGGGGCATTATGAATTGCGCGTTGTTAAGGTAGACATCGAATTTTCCGGATTGAAGTGCTAGCTGAGGTGACTGTGGTGTGTTCTTAAGCAAGACCAGAGAAAGACACTTGTCTCTTATTGACTCTGTTCACTAGGGAATAGAGATTGGTACTGGCGAGCTATTGGGACTTTTCTGTAGCGGTGTTTCACACTGCATATATCCCATTATGTTACCTCACCCGAGGTGTGTTCCTACTGCCCACTGTTACAGTTATGGAGGCATTCTTGATCGTTCTCTGTGTTTAAGCCAGTTGATGACATTTTGCTTTTAATAACTGATCTCTTGGGAAACCGTCAGTTTACTTTAAACACGCCATCATTTAGAAACGAACTTGATCAAAGAAATGTGAACTTTTAATTGTAAACCGTTTTATGGCTTGTTTCATGGGTATTTCACATACTAAAAAAGAAATTTGGCTTGATTCATGCCATATTCATATACTACCGGGAGTTTGCCTTTATTTTTTGTTGTTTTTCAGGTACACTAGAAAAGTTGTGTGCTATTTTTCATCCATTTTCACTAACGTGTAATCCATTTACTTGCTGCAATTTTGGTGGTGAAGGAAAATTGTCCATTTTGAATGATATATTTTAAACTAAATTTGCNTCTGACCGACTGACTTACAGACGGGCGGACGGACGGACGGACTAACTGAATGACTGACTGTCTCTCTGACGGACGGACGGACTGACTACCTGACTTACTGTCCTGTACAGTAAGAACGCTGACCATGTTTAGACAATGTAGGGCCGGTTAACACTTATCCTGGACTAAAACTGAGTTGATAGAAATTATATAGCTATTGCATAAAAAACGTTTTCACTGCTAGTGTTTTGTTGATTTTCACTTCAGTCGACGTCAAAACTCTGTTGGATCGATCCGGGGCTTATTGTTGGGGATTATTTACGATCAGTAAAGACTTTAACTTGGACTGTATTTCTTTTATTCCCAACAGTTCCTTTTGACGCTTACAATACGTTCAACAAGTCAACAATCTACGACCTACAATCTGCTCTAAACGTTTTTTTGTTCGCTCTTAAAACACTCCATCATTTAGAAACGAACTTGATCAAAGAAATGTGAACTTTTAATTTTAAACCGTTTTATGGCTTGTTTCATGGGTACTTCACATACTAAAAACGAAATTTGGCTTGATTCATGCCATATTCATATACTACTGGGAGTTTGCCTTTATTTTTTGTTATTTTTCAGGTACACTAGAAAAGTTGTGCGCTATTTTTCATCTATTTTCACTAACGTGTAATCCATTTACTTGCTGCAATTTTGGTGGTATTTATTATACCCCTTTTTAAAATGATGATTTTCAAGCTTAAATGAAGTCTACTTCATATACTAGCATTTTCTACGTCAAATCGTAAATACAAAACCTTCAAAATTTGTGTATACGTTTAACAGGTATAAGAATCGAATAGAATATTTTGATCAATGAAAATACTTTCTAAATTTTCTATGACTGTAAAGGTTTAGAAGGGAAAAATTCTCACTTACTAAATCCATACCTCAGACCTGAAGTATGATATCCATACCTGAGACCTGAGGTATAACATCCATACCTTAGATCTGTAGTATAACATCCATACCTCAGACCTGAGGTATAACATCCATACCTAAGACCTGAGGTATAACATCCATACCTAAGACCTGAGGTATAACATCCATACCTAAGACCTGAGGTATAACATCCATACCTAAGACCTGAGGTATAACATCCATACCTAAGACCTGAGGTATAAC